TACTTCTGCCACTAGTACTTCATAAAGCATTTTGACTTCCCTACAAACTCCTACTCTTTAGTTTTCCTTTTTTTTTTTTAACATTTTACACAGTCTTTCCCTTAGGCTGTGATCCCTGACGTCCAGAATCCATTCAAAGACCCTCTTCAACCCTGCAACATCCTCAAAAGCTGATATGGAGACTTTTGTATGCTATTCCATGCCTGAAGTTCTTGCACTACAAGGAGGGAGGGGACCAGTGAGACCAGGTGACAGACAAATGGACCAGGCACGCTCTCCTCCCAACAGGAGAAGCTTCCTCCTTGCCCTGTGAAGCTGCTCTTACTCAATTTTTTGAATCAAGCAGCTTCAGACCATGGTCTTGCACCCAAGACTGGCATCTAGTGGCAAATGCAAGTGCCCTCTCCTTGTCTGGCAGAGCAGCTGAACCACTAACCCAGCAGATAAAAGTGCAGTGCGTGTCCAGCACTTCTGCACAGAGTGGCAGCGGGTGGGACTGAATGTCTTGTGGAAAAAAAACATTTTATCCCCTTCTTCCCACAAATATTTCATCCCTCACTATACACTGGTGCTGCTAAATGAATAAACCTACTGAAAACCAGAGATAAGCAATATTCATCTATTATTTTCAGTGAAAAAATGGTGAACATACTTAAAGGAAGGGATGTTTAATTTTAACCTGTCACTGTATACTGCAAAATCCAATTTAAAATATATATTTTTGGACAGCACAGCCAAGTTCTATTCTTGGTATAGACTAAAAAGACTAGTAGCTGATTATTTTATTATAAGATCTTTAATGCTTCATTATTAAGTAATCTGATTTATTCCACAGAGGGAAAATACATTTTCTTCTGGAAATTTGCAATGAATTTCAAGGCAGAGTCACTTCCAACAAAACTGATTTAGCAATACCCACATGTGATGGCATGAACTCTATTAAAGGCAAGGAAATTGCCTTTCAAACTCTTGGTGAGAATTTCATTCAGGATACTCTGAAAGCTTCAGAGCACTGAGTGTACTTAGTTGACAGCTGAAGAAAACAGTAATCAACAGTTGAATCTCAAAAAATAAAAATTCTCAGATCTTCAAGTTAAAATATGAAGTTCAGTCCTTTTGGGGATTAATTACATGGTCACTCACTAAGTGTAGTGTTCGTCACAGGTAACTTAAGTCACTGAAAGATCATCAAATTAATGCAAATCCACTTAAATATCTTTCTCTTTTAATCTTGTATTTAAACAGTAAATAAACAGCACAGAAAGTTCACTTAAGGATTTTCAGCCAAGGAAACCCCAAGTTTTGATACCAAAGATGGGGGCAGGGCTGAGGGGGTGTTGGGTTTTTTTGTTTTGTTTTTAACTTTAGTGGTTGCAGCTCAAAGATAAAATGCATATAATTTAAAACTTGAACTAACAAAAGGGGTGACAATAATTTTTATATCTTTTCCTTCACATGCTATTAGACTTTAAGAAAGAAAGGTCAAACTTAATATCTTCCAAAGGGAAAATAATTTTGACCATTTCTAAAACGAAGATAAGTCCCATAGAGTAAAACCCACTTTCCATGAGGGCAGACATTTAGTTCACATACATATGTATAAAGCAATTTTAACGTTATATAAATACTCATTTATCTGTCTATACACCTACCTAATTTTGTTACAAGCAGGTTTATGAGTTTTGAAAGGAACCACCACATAGGAAAGGAGATCTGTAGGAAAGCATTGTGGACAGCCTGTGGTCATGAAAGTATGCTCCACAAACATGGCATTTCAGAAACATCTGAAAAAACCTCCACTACATCACAGCACAAAAACTTCTCCTGCCCTCAAGCTCTTCATATTACAAAATGAATAAGCTTTTCTAGGCAAGCCTTGTGAAGTTCTCAGTAGGCTGTGCTCCTACTTGTGGACTCTCAGAAAACAAAAACAACGTCTGGAAAAAGTAGACTTGGGATATATTTGTAACTACCAAATTTTAAGTTCGGGCCAACTGAAATATTTTTATGGATGATAAATACTTTTTTTTTCTTAAAAAACCACTAACACGCCTTTTGTCACATTACGCAATACAGATCTTTTTAAACTATCACTTATTAAAAAAATAAAAAGTCCATTGATTTTTTTCTTGTGCTCAGAGACAGAAAGAGCACAAGGCAATAAGACAATTAGGTAAAATGATGGATTTGAGCACATGTTGCATTTTCCTGTTAACATGTACACGTAACTTCCACTAACGTCAGGATGAGTTATGGGTGCACTGCTAAAATAATATGACCATAACAAAAATATTTCCTCCAGAACTAATATAGTAATATTTCTAATAGACATTTGGAAAAAAACCCCACACATATATTCAGAAAGTAACATGTAAATGCAACTCCTCCAAATGTACTACTGTCTATTTAAAATAAATGTCATTTTTTTCACAAATTGGTATCGAGTAAAGTAGAAGAAGCTGATGTTATCAAACTACCTTTCATTTAAAGGGTACTTTGTTAGTTTCCAGTTCAAAAAGATCAAGCAAATATGAACAAGATTAAGCTGCTATCCATTTTTATTCTAAACTTACTTAAATAACGGAATGCATATGGGAACATGTAATGACAATTGAAGAACTTATCTAAAACTGAGGCCAGTAAATTAAGATGGATCATGACAATGTCAGCCAGATGGGCCTAGAATGCAGAGTTATGGTTGGAACTCGAACTTAATACAAGCATAGGAAATCATCATGAATGTTCTTAAACACTCAGTTCATGCCTATTTAACTGGAAGCTAGCAGCCAAAAACTGTAATCACTCAATACTGCTTTTTTAAAAATTGATAAATAGAAATTATGGTCAATGCTTCCAATTAATAAATTATCTTAAAATGTCAAAGACACACTTTTAGTATATTATTAGAACACAGAATTATCATTATTCTGTCTTTGGATGTCTGGGTCTTAGTTAGCTTCTACAATCTGGTTTTGAGAAGACCTTGGTCCCTTTTTAAAAAGCAACATTGAGTATATTCTGGCATAATGCAGCAGTTTCATGAAGTTTGTTTGTCCTTCACTTATTTCAGTGAGCACTTTGAAAAATTAAACTACTGTAAAGTAATATCTGAATTATCTCTAAAAGATGTTTACTAATAGAATCATAGAACAGTTTGGATTGGAAGAGACCTTAAAGATCATCTTTTTCCAAGCCCCCTGCCACGGGCAGGGACACCTTCCACTATCCTAGATTGCTCCAAGTCCCATCCAACCTTGCCTTGGACACTTCCAGGAGTGGGGCAGCCACAGCTTCTTTGGCCAACCTGTGCCAGGGCCTCACCACCCTCAGGGAAGAATTTCTTCCTAATATCCAACCTAAATCTACTCTCTTTCATTCTAAAGCCATTTCCCTCTGTCCAATCACTCCATGCCCTTGTAAAAAGTTCCTCTCCAGCTCTCTTGTACCATCTTCAGGCCCTGGAAGGTGCTCTAAGTTCCCCTGGAGCCTTCTCCTCTCCAGGGTGAACAACTCCAGCTCTCCCAGCCTGTGTCCATAGCAGAGGTGCTCCAGCCCTTCTTTTGACACGGCCCAGGATACAACTGGCTTTCTGGGCTGCAAATGTACATTGTTGGGTCATGCTGAGCTTCTCATCAACCACTGTATCTATTAATTTACGCACCTAAAAAATTATGCATCTAATGGATACACGTGTATCTATCATTTTATGTTGTTTAGCATATCTTATTAAATAATCTGATAATAGTATTTACATTTAATTTATACTTAAGAGCAGTCATGTAGCCCTTTCTATACACAGAGCTCAGAAAAAAAAGTCTGTCCATTCTGTGCTTTTTGATAGAGTACTCATTTTGTTAAAGAGGCAGTAAAAAGGAAAGCAAATATGATCACATCAATTTCTGTAACTAATCTATTTGTTTTCTCTGTTTATTAATATTTTGATTTTATATAGGGTTTTTTAGTTCATTAACTCTATTTTCTATCTCCTAGACCAGCAAAAGCATCCTGACATCTCATAGCCATATTTTGTTCTTTCCATCTCACAACACGAAATAGAAGTTCTCTCTGATTCCATCTCCAACAGTTCTGTGCACTTAATTGAAAAAGTCACATTATCAGAATTAAAGATTTGTTCCTCTGTGTTGCTCAATATTTGTGAATTATGATTTCAAAAAATAAATTCTATGACTAGGACAAAAAAGAAACATGGACTTGAGGAAACAGACCAAAGCACTACACAGAAAATAGATGACTGGCACTGAGCACCTGAGTTATGACAGGAGAATGAATATGTACATATAATAGAACATCAGAAAACTAAAATAATGTATCTATTATAGAAAATAATATCACATACTGCTCTAATTCACATGTGATTGCATTTTTCTGTGTAGCTATAGACCTCATTAAAGTCAGAACCAGAAATTCTTTAGATAACACTGGAAACATAATTACAGATATTTACCTTTATTGTGCAGAGCAAGTTAGATTTAAACTATATGTGTATCTTCCTTTTTTGTTCTGTACACATATAAATAGTGATAAAGTGTATGCAAAGAGGTTTTTGTTCATCTGGGGGGAGGTTTAACCAATTATTCAATGCAATAAACTTTGCACCATCAATATAAAGTTAATAAGCCCCTTTCCTCTAATTTGACACTAGCAGAAGTTCCAGCATAGAATTCCCACTGAGAGACAGGGCTTTAGATCCTCGATTTCTCACAGAATTTACACAGTGCTGATATTTTTATTTGCATGTAGCAAATGAAAACTTTCAAAAATTCATCTCATGTAAATTGTTGAGTACTTCTAAAAAAAAGCCTTTTGCATTTCCATGCATTAAAAGGAATTTAACAGTCTTAGATTCCCAGTCCTACACTGAGACTTAAATATATGCAGTGAAGAAAAAAACACACACACACAAAAAACCACAACCTTCTCTTAGAGCGAAAGCAGTAATTTCATTTTTTTCTGGAAATTAGAGAAATCAATGTACTTACTTCATTTCTAGAATTTCTTCAAGCTGTTTCCTTCGCTCTATTCTCAGGTTGGCCAGATGTGCTTCTTTTTCAGCCAAAGACTGCTGTGTTGAGGCAAGACGGGCTTTGGTAGAATCTAACTCTTGTCTAGTCTTTTCCAGTGCATTCATCAGCTCTTCTACCTGAGAGAGAGGACTTTTTAAGTTCCATATTCTTTACAAGAAGTAAATCTTAAATCTACATAAATACAGGGCAAAAAACACACTGAAGGAATTATTTTATGTAAATGGTTGTTCAAATCTCTTCCTACCTTAAGTGTTTTAAATTAAAAGAAACAAGAGTGGTCTTTCAATACAAAAAAAAAGTAATGTTTCCATTCATCTATTGATTAAAAAACAATATTTATAAAGAGAAGAACTAACACAGATTACCAGAAACCTATTTAACCTGGGCCACTGCCACATTAAGACACAATTTATAAATATTTCCTGCAACATTTGTATTATTTAAATTCAGGGTAGCGGTACCTCAGCATAACACTGATGTCAGAAATTTTAGATAATGATATAGATACATATTTACTATAAAAGTGTCCAGGACAATCCATGTATTTTCCATCAAAAAATGCACACTCTTCTATGCAGAACAGGTTGCCCAAGGAAGCTGTAAACTCTCTAGTCCTTGGGTATTTTCAGATCTTGATTGAATGAAGCCTGGAGAATCTGACTGAACTTTGAAGTTAATCTTGCTCTGAGTAGCGGTTTAGGCTGCATTGCCTCTAGTGGTCCCTTCTGACTAAAGTATTCTAAGATTCTGAACTTTAAAGGTCTTTTACTGCTCTAATAACAAAGTTATTTTCCTCATGACAACTGTGAGAATCTCCAAAGCAAGAAATGCAGGAAAAGTTAAGGTGATCCCACTCTTTCCTTAACATGGGTAAATGTTAACTGGATGCAGGATAAATTGCTTATTGCAGGAATTCAAAAAAATTTTATCTTTGGAGAAAACAAAATTCAGAATTAAAAAAAAAAAAGGTGTATGACATGATCTATCACATTATTTAAAGAACACACTGAAGAATGGAGACTATACAATGACACCTGTACACCTGCCTGGCAGCAGAACCTTTGCTGGTGGGGTAAGTGGAGTAAATCACTACATTATTCACAGGACCAGAGAGCTACAAATAACCTGCAGTAATTAGGAGGCCAGTAGGATTTCCCCCTCTTCAAATGATACAGTTTACATTAAGAGCTGCAAGTAAACAACACAATTTTCTTTAATGTGATTGAATGATTTAAATAATTAATGTCCTATTTCCTGTATTTTCTTTGTCACCTCCTTTGTCCAAATATTAAAGTTTTATAAACTACAAAACACTTCAGAAAGAACTTCTAAATAAAATAAAATGGCAAAGAGGATATATTCTATTCATCCACATTATGCAAGTCATTGAAAAGGGTTCAATTTTGCTGTGTATTGAAGAGTCTGACAAAATTCCACTGCACTCATATAATCAGTGTGGCTACTTCTCCCAAGTTCAAGCTTAATTGTTGTTATCTAAAGCCTACTAGCACGCTATCTGTGTTTATAAGCCACATGTTTTTGTTTCAGTTTGAATAATCATTGCCTCCTATACAACAGGTTTAATCAAGCCAAATAAATAGCACAGTTGTCATTGAATTATAATGAGGATTCACAACCTGTTCGCAAATGATACACTGATTACTTCCTTCTACACCATCTTTACAAGCACTAATAAGATCAATGGAATACTAGAACACATCTGATACCCTGGGGTGCATAAGAATTTGTATTTCATGAATGCAGAATCAGAATCACCAATAGCATTGAAACTATTTATGTTCAACCTTCCACTCAGAAATTAAAACTAGTATAAGGGTGGTATAAATGAAATAACAAGGAGTGTAATATCATGCAGTAGTCTCTTCAGCTGTAAGATTCCACTAAAGTAAACCATGAAGAAAGATATCCTTTTAAAATGACTAGCCAGTGAACTTTCAGAGTAGAAGCAGCAAAGAAAAAAAATATACTTGAGGGAAATAAAGGGGAAAAAAAAAAAAAAAGCTTGATTTGCACTTAAATCCCAGGGGGAAAAAAATTAACAAACCAGGAGAGACACAGATCATATTTCTTTAAAAATGATTCAGTTTCTAATATAACACCAGGTGCTTCATATCTTCTGCTTTAGTACAAGAACATAAACCCATGCTGCCTCCAATAAGGACGAGCCTCAACTACTAAAATATAATATGATATTTCTATCTGTTTTCTGGGGCTATTTCTTAGGCTTGTCCTTGTATCTTTTAAAAACTGTATCTAGTTTCCACTGAGCCTCCAGTCTATTAGTTAATTCCAGGTAGCACACATTAATGGAAACCGTAGTAAGGATTCCAGACTGCAAAGTCATTCATTCATACAGACTCCAGCTTTGAGACAGTATCTGTAAACACCAAGTCACTCCACACTTGCAGATTTGTTTGGCAGATGAGAATGTAAAAAGGCAGAATAGTAGCACTTCCATATCTTCGGTATCACTGCACTCCTTTTCCAGGTGAATCAGCTGAATTTAGCACCCAAACTGATGATTGACTGAATCCTCACCTAAGTTCTGATATAACACATCATTTACATTTCAAAACATTTAAGAGAATTAAAGACTTGTAGAAAACAAAGCTGTGGATTTGTTAATGTCCATTAATAACACACTCATATTACTAGACAAAAGAGATCAAAGTTTAAAAGAGAGGAGAAAAAAAACTTTAAAAACTTAAATATGAAAACTTTTTCAAACCACAAATCGTTAACACGTGTAGACTTGAAAGTTATACTTCCATTTACACTTTCAACACAGTATTTGCCAGCTAGTTCTTCTTTCATTTTTTGGAATATGACCCAAGTTCATAGTTGCACGTTTTCCTAATTAACTGTCCCACCAACACCTATAGCAGAATTCAACCGGCAGGCATGTGCACAAAAACTGATTTTATTTTTTTAAATTGGCAACTATTGAGTGTAAATCAGTGAACACTGAAGTTGCACACACAAACATCTCAGCTTGTTAATTATATAGCTGTAGCACGTGTTACAATGAAAAATTAACTTTAAACGCTGAAAGTAGTATTACCTAGATAAGTCTAGAGGTGAAAAAAAGCATTGTATAACACGAACCAAATTCGTAATGTAAGCAAAGGTTCTCTTCTTTGACAATTGAAAAAATAGCAAAAAAAAAAAAAATAATAAAGTTCCATGTTGATTTACTACCTCTCAGTCCTACTGTAAGAAAGGGGAAAATTTTACCTTTCTGACCTGCAGCAACTACCTCATTTGCTACACTCAGGGCACTTCAAGGACTGGTGTGTGTCCAGGGGCCCTTTCCTCTATCAAGCACTGCTGTATGGTCCTGCCTTCCAGTTTCAGTTTTTCCACTCTCCAGATACTGAACTGAGCCCCCTACTGAAATACCAGTTCATTAATGACCAGGCAACATGTTTACACACTTTTCTTATATTGTCCATGGGATCGAGATAAAGTTTGCATGACCATGTCCGTTACCCGTAATATCTCATCCTGCTCATCCTCCCAAACTGAAGCCCACAGCACCTAACTCTTAATCATCACACCTGCATCCTTCGGACGTTTATTGGCACAGAAATCCAGAGAAGCCACCAGAGTGGCCGGTTTTGGCCTATTTTTGGGGGGTTTGGTCCATAACCCGCCCCAACCACCAAGGTTTCCTTCCCTGCCCAGCAGCTCCGCCTGGTGGGGGGCGGAGGTGGCCCAGGGCAGATCCCACCCGTCTGAACTGTTCCCAACTGGAAGCCCAGTCACTTTTTCCAGCTGTATCTCTCAGTCCAACTGCTTCTCATCACGAAGCCCTCAAGTTTTGAATTCAGAAGAACACACATTTTGACAGAGTTTTCCGTGCAAACCTCAGTGAATGCACAGGAGTGCTCTCTGCCCGGAAAGCGTTAACTCGGTTTTCTTCCCCTTCGCAAGGCAACAGCCCCAGTTTATCCTTTGCACTTTCTAATAAAAGCCATTATTTATTTCATACTTTCAGAAAGCTTAACTGACCTCAGCACTTTGAGGATTTCATTAAAATCTGCACCAGAATCAAGTTTACATTTCAGAATGGGCAGAAACCCAGCAAACTAAACTATTTTTTAATTATTTCTTAGTTTTGAGTCTATTTTAAATGAGCACTTTTCTATTTGTTCAGCAGCTTCACATTTTCAAGTGCTATCAGCAGCATTTCACACCATGATAAGAAAAGAAGTAAATGTGGCTGAAGTGTACATCTGCGTTACCAGATTCTGCAAATTAAAGGAGGTTAGAGTTCAAATGAATGACAGTTTATTAAAAATGCCCTGGAGCATTCTTAATTCCAGATTGGATCCGGCTCAGCACAACTCAGGCTAACATAATACTGTTCCAGTTTGTGGGAATGAGGAGGGGGAGGGACAATTGCATGTTTTCTCAGTTCAAGTATGATATATTTCTGCAGGATGACGAAGAGCTGGCAACTTTCCAGCAGTCAAGGTTAATATTGTTAGTACTACTATCTTTAGAGGGTTGGTACTTCATTTTAGCAACAATACTGGTGATAAATGTAAGAATTTTGGATTTCCCTAACTGACTTTTTCAAGTATCAGTTGCTATACAAAAACTCCATACCCACACTTTAATCTATAACATAATTTTGTGTTAGTACACAGAGATCATTTATGAATTCTACATAAGAAAATAAATAATTTCTTCTATTTACTTATTCTTCTACTTTAATATTAAAATATTAAGCATTATAGACATTTTTTAGAATTTTAACAAACTATTACATTAATTCAGTACAGATGGATGCATTTTGATAAGTCAGTCAGTGTAAGAATCCATCTAGTTGTGTTCAAAGGTACTTTATTTTCTTTTCCATTTGCTAAGGAAATGCTTTTTTTTTTTGCTTCTTTTTTTCCCCCTCCAAGTTACACAGTATATAAATTTCTGTTATCTCCAGTTTTGTGAAGATTAACTTAATAAAAATAATATTTGGGTTTTCCCCGAAGATTAAGCATGAGATTGCAAAAAACCGAAAGGCTACAATCCTTAAACTTTCCCTTTGTGGCTTTCCTACGAATTTATTCTGTCCCTAAGAGGGCATAGAAAA